ACTAAAAGAAGATTTCAAGTCAGTAACCTAGCTTTACACATCAAGATGTGTATTTACACAATAGATGAATAGGAGCAAAATAAAGCTAAAACAAGTAGAGGAAAGAAAAAGAAGAGTAAATACCAGAGAGGGAAGAAAAGAGGCTGAAGTGGAAAATAGAGAAACAATAAAGAAAATCAATGAAACCAAAATTGGTTCTTTCAAAAGATCAACAAAATTGGCAAAACTGTAACTAGACTGACAGAAAGAAAAAAGACTTGAATTACTAAAATGGCAGAGGGACATTACTACCAACCTTCAGAAGTCATGATTATAGGGGAATACTATGAACAATTATAGGACAACAAATCAGACGGTCTAGATGAAATGGAGAAATTCCCAGAAAGACAAATTCTAGAAAGACTCAAAAAGAAAGTGAAAGTTCGAGTAGACCTATAACAAGTAAAGAGATTGAATTAGTAACCAAAACTTCCCATCAGGAGAAGCCCAGGACCAGATGACTTCATTGGTAAGTCATAGCAGATGTTTAAAGAAGAATTAGTACCAAACCTTCACAGACTCTTCCAAAAAATTAGAAGAGAAGGGAACACTTTCCACCTCATTTCAGGAAGGCAGTATTGCCCTGATACCCAAACCAGACAAGGATCCCACAAGGCAACTGCAGACTGCTATCCCATAGGAACATAAACTGCAGAACTTCTCAACAAAATACTAGAGAACTGAGTCCAGCAATGTGTAAAGAATTACACACCATGAACTAGTGGGATTTATCCACTAAACAACAAGGTTGTTTCAATTTGTGGAAATCGACCAACATAATACACTGTATTAGTAGAATAAAAAACAAAAACCACATAATCATGTCAATATATGCAGAAAAAATATTTGAAAAAATCCACCATCCTGTCATAACACAGACACTCAACAAACTAGGAATGGGAGCTAACTTCTTCGACCTGGTAAATCAAAAGCACAAACAAAGGAAAAATAGGTACGGTAGACTTCATCAAAACTGAAAACTTTCATGAATCGAAGGACATTATCGAGAAAGTGAAAGCCTGCAAAAGGGAAAAAATATTTGCAGATCATTTATTTGTTAAGGGTCTGGTATATGGAACAGGTAAAGAACTCTAACGACTAAACAGCAAAAAGACAAATAGCAATAAAAAATGGGTAAAGGATGCGAATAGACACCTCTCCAGAGGAGACATGTACACGGCCAACAGCACATGAAAAGATGCTCAGCGTCATTCGTTGTCAAGGCAACACA